TTCTCCTTCCCCCCCCCCCCCCGGGGCCCCCTATATGGCTCCCATCTACGGGTGGGGAGGTGCACATGGTGGAAACCGGGTCCGGCGTCCCATCTCAAGAAAAGAGAAACTGAATTGTGACGAGGAGAAGGGCATTAATTAGACTCCCAAACTTTCCAATATGAGACGGTGGGGCCGGCGTGCTGCTCCTTGAGAATAGTACGAATGCCTATTTTAGGAAAAAAAAGGTAAAAGGTGTTTATGTGGCATGACATTTGAGTGAACATGGCTTACATGTCGGATAGCTGTATGCATGATGCAGGTTGGGGAAAAAAAAGAAAAGGAAGAAAAAAAGGCAGATTGGCAACGAACTTCTTCTTCGGGAATCTGAGGGCATTGGTGTGCAATCAGACTCGACTCTGGACTTGCTCACAATACGCAGACATGAGAACTGATGGCAAACCAAACTCGTCAACTCGGAACCAACAATGAACTTGCACTTAAACTCTGTTCAGAACAACTGTACAACTTGCGGCTATGGCCGCTGCACACTGTCTCAACCACCAGCCTCACTCTCCCTCGTGCACGCACGTACCAGGATCACCCTGAATGTCCACGCTACACAGCCACACACACACTGTACACTCCATCTACACCAACAGCTGGGCGGCTATGGCCGCCGTCTTCCTCCTCCTAGCTATGGCCACCGTCGTCTACCTCACTGGCCACCTATGGCCGCTGTCTTCCTCACTGCCCACTTCCTCTCCGGCCACCTGCAGACCTCCACGCACAAGATACGAAGTCAGCACTTCCGCATGGCTCACAGGCGAATGAATGAATGGCTAGGCGCTGCGTGTTTATTTATACTTCTTCGGAGGTGGCTGGGCCCTGCCCCAAAACGCGTGGGCCTGGGCGAAAAAGCGTGGGCCTGGGTCCCTTCAGAACGCGTGAACCTGGGCCTGGAAGCTTCCAAACTCGTGGGCCTTCTGGGCCAAAACGCGTGGAACTCTCCACGTGCTCCAGAACCTTCCCCATGTGCAGCCCTTACCCATGTACCTGCTGACTGGACTGCCTACAGGGACCTATGACCTTCTACAGTCTTGAGACCTACAGACGGATTCTAGGCCCACAGTAGACTTAGGAAGAGACTTCTACAACAGACTCTTTAGTCCTACTGGTAACAGACTCAACTCCCATCCTGCACACCTAGGGATCAAGTCCTACACAGATCGCTGGGCCTATGTATAGGGTACAGGATAGGTCTAGGGATCGAATCTCACTCAGCACACAGGGTCAATGTACAGGGTACAGGGTAAGTCTAGGGATCGAATCTCAATCAGCACACAGGTTCAATGTACAGGGTTAGGGCACAGGTCTCGGGATCGAATCTCTATGTCTGCAAATGTTGGGTTAACTGGCCGGAATCTCTATGGTATATGACGGGCCATCCTCTCCTCCTTTGACTTCAAGGACAGGCCACGGTCCTCTATACGCAAGTAAGAGCTTCTGCGAGATGTTTTCCTCAGGTGCAAACTCAAAGGACTTGACCTAGACTAGATCGCCTACCTGAAACTGTGTAGGTCGGCGGTGCTTGTTAGCTTGCTCTATCATCCGATGCTGGGTTTTTCTTAGATTGTCTATGACCTTAGCAACTTCTTGCTCGTGCTGCAACGCAAACTCTCATGTGCCGGGTGGTAGTCTCTGTATTTGATCCCGGTCTAGTCCCTCAAACGGTTGCCTAGGTCTAAATGACTTATGTAGCTCATTAGGAGTCCTGCAGGTAGCTAGATGAACACTGTTATTGTAGGCACTTGCTACCTTGGGAAGCATCTCATCCCAGTTTATCTTATCTGGTCTAATATACATTCTAAGTAGTTGTTGCAAGATCTTATTCATCTGCTCTGTCTGACCATTAGTCTTTGGGTGTCGTCTTGACGACATCAATAACTTATACGCATAAACTTTCGTAAGATCCTGCCAATTCTGACTAGTAAACCGCATGTCCCTATCACTAACTATGGACAGTGGCATGCCATGCTCGCTTATCGAGAAGTCGAAAAACTTACTAATGACAAAGTTTGTACGTGCCTTTGAAGGCAGGGGAACAAACACTACATACTTACTAAATATATCTACTATGACCATGACTTGAGTTTTGTCGTGCCTACTTTTGACCCCAGTATCCATGAAGTCGATGGAAACAGAATCTCCGGGTCCTGATGGAATAGGCAAAGGTCTAAGGAGACTTAGAGGGGCTCTTGTAGTAGTCTTGTTACGTTGACATACCTTGCAGCTGCGCACATACTCTATGCAGTCTGCTTTCATACCTGGCCACGTGTATGACATCATCACGTTAGGCTGGTTAGCTAAGGTCTTCTGCCATCCGAAGTGTCGTATCGTGGCATTCCCCTACGATTAAACTGTGGATCTCTTCACGGTTGAGGACGCACAGTCTATCAACGACATTGGTCTTTTCAAACAGTAGCCCGTTCGTGGTTCGGTAGTGTGGCTCACTATCTGGGCCTTCCTTTACTCTCTTCAACAGCTCATTGTAGATTGGATCCTCGCATAGGCATCTCTTACTTTCTACTGCAGATCGGCCCCTATTTCTAGATAGTGCACTATGGCGCCGAAGTAATCAGCCCTTCTACTTAGAGCATCAGCTACCACGTTATACTTTTCTTTTACTGGTTTTAACTCAAAGTCAAATTGGTCTATCTCGGCAACCTATCTAGTCAACTTGGGCGTCATCTTGGCCTGTGTCTGCAGCCATCGAAGAGTCTCGTGATCAGAATATACCTTGAAGTGCCTCCGAAGCAGGTAGTGTTTCCAGTGATCTAAGGCCTGCCTGAGAGCATAGAGTTCCCTCCCGTATGTCGATGCTGCTACCTTTTATGAGGCTGGCTGACATAAACTATACGGGTCTAAAACCATTACCGTAATCTTGTTGTAAAACGACACCTATGCCATACTGACTAGCGTCTGTAGTAACAACGAATGGTAATGACGGATCAACAACTTTAAGGACAGGGTATTCTATTAGGGCCTTCTTCAATTTCTTGAAGGCTGACGTACAATCATGGTCCCACTTCCAGATGGTCTCTTTCTTCAGCAACCTACAAAGGGGAGCAATGATCGTGGAGAAGTTCCTCACGAACTTCTTATAGTAGTTAGCCAGTCCTAGGAATGAGCGTAACTCTGTCAGCGTCTTAGGAGTTGGCCAGTCTCTAATGAATGCAATTTTGTTGTCCTCAGGCCGAATGTTGTCGCTGTCTAGTACATGGCCTAGGTAAAGGACCTTTGTCTTGGCCCATTCGCACTTCTTTGGGTCAATCTTGAAGTTAGACTCTCTCAACTTGCTTAGAATCTGCCGCAGATGACCCTCATGTTCCTCGAGGGTCTTACTGAACATTAAGATATCGTCTAAATAAACTACGACGAATCTATCTAACCACAGTCTAAACAAGTCGTTCATGCAGCGCTGAAATGTAACCAGTGCATTAGTAAGTCCAAACGACATCACTATGAACTCGTAATGCCCATGCCTTGTCTTGAACGCCGTCTTATACTGATCGGCAAGATGTACCTCTATCTGATGGTAACCTGACTTCAAATCTATCTTTGAGAAATACTGGCATCCCTGCACTCGATCTAACAAGACATCTATGCGAGGTAGCGGCTCTGAATTCTTAATCGTGATGGCGTTCAGTCCCCTGTAGCTTACACACATGGGTAGCTCTCCCTCTTTCTTTGGGACAAATAGAACAGGTGCGTCAAACGGTGAGTTAGGTTTGATCCATCCTTTCTCTAGGAGCTCATGTAACTGTCCGCAAATCTCCTCTAACTCCTTAGGAGACATCTTATAAATTGCCCTCTTAGGCGTTCTACTCCCAGGTTCTATCTCTATACGGTGCTGGATTGGTCTGGGCACTACTCTTGAAGGTGCTTCAAATAAGTCCTTGTACTCTTCTAGCAGACTGGTGATAGTAGGATGGATTTTCTCTTCCTCTTTAGGCGTATCAAAAATCGGCCTAACATAGGCTACGAACACCTGCTCTTCGAGCTGCTCCTTTCGCACAAAGTCTGGCGAACGCAAGAGCGCTGAGGCAGCAATGGGTGAGGGGATTATCCACCCCGGACTCATGGAACAGACGGACTTGCTTGACTTCGCCTGACGTCCTAGGAAGCCTGCACTCGTGCTCTCTAAGGTGAAGTGTGGCTCCCGCTGCCTCTCCCCAATTTATGCCTAACTCAATGTCAAACGGGAGACTGTCTTCTACGAGGAGGGTCAAGGAGTGCAGTACTTTCTCTACCTTCCCATCTTTCTCGAGGCGAAAGTAGGCGTGGACCCCCTCAACATACTCTTCGACGCACATCCTACTGTTGTCTACGAGGATGCTAAATACAGGTTTTTCTAAGCGTTGGACTTTTGGATTTAGCTTCAACTTCTTCAATGCTTTACGAGAAATTACGACTAATATAACTCCTAGTCGCCCCACTGTCTATCAAGGCACCTACTCTAACTCTAAAAATTTCTACGTCTGCGAGGATAAGTTGTCCTTTACTATCCTTCTTCCTCTTGGCCCAGGCTTGCCTCCTTTCTCTTAACTCCTCAACTGAGCTTGTGAGGGAAACGTCTAGAGAGACTCTAACACAAGCAGTCTTTGGACAGCCTACTAGACGGTGGACTGCAACCTCTGCCATGGAGATATGTGAAGTGGGAGACTCTACTTCGTGCGCATGCTCAAATCCACATACTCTTGGGTAGGGGCAGTTGCAACTCCTACAGGCGGTTGTCTTTTGCTGCCCCAGACGCAGCACGGTCTCTATGCTTAAGACAAAATTTTATGATGTGGCCTGGGTCCCCGCTGAGTACGCATTGAGAACTATTGATGCGTTTTTGCTAAACCTTCTGCTCTGTGCCCAAATCTTCCATGGTCGGCCCTCGGGCCGGCATGGGTGCTACCATCCTTGTCTAGGAGGTGACCGACGAAAACGCGGAAGGTTGGACGAGGGACCTCCCCTTCCTTCCGCTTGGCGGTTGCCATTGCCGCCAAACCCCTGGCCGCGCTGTCCTTGGCCACCCGGGGCTTGGCCATTCTGGTCGGACCTTTGTCCTCCTCCTTGCAGCCTCCCTACGGCCGCAACAGCAACGTAGGTTCTCCCCTGTACGAGTGTCATTGTCTTCTTCCTCTAGTTCCCACTCGATGTCAGAGTAGGGAACCATGTCAGCACCACCTTCTTCCATTGTTAGTATCAAACTGTCTTTGGCCTTAATTTGACCGGAGATGGTGCGTCCCTTCCACGTTTTTCCCTTTGATAGATCTTTGTGCCAGAATGTGGTAACTGGCGACGCTTGGGCGGCAAATGCAGCTGCCTCCCGACTGAGGGTGTCGTAGGTCATGCCCTGCTGATTCTTTTTCTCAAAGAAATGTCCCTGAATGTTCTAAGGGAGGGCACGATAAAAGAGTTGGATTAGTTGGGCATTTGTTACCCCATGCCCAGGAACAACAATTAGTTCGTCCATAGCGGACTTAAGCGCATGCACACTCCTCCACTTCCGCTTGTTGATCATTTGGAGTTTGTCGGAGTCTTTGAGCCCCCGCATCACATCTGAGAATTGCTCTCTAAGTAATTTCAGGAATTCGGAGAGCGGAGTTAATCTAGAATATGTAACCACATCATTGTCGTAGTTAGCAACGCGGGCCAGCGACCTGGAAAAACTAGTTGCCCCGTCTCGAAGGGCCTGGAAGGCCACCAAAGTATGGTCCTCAGGCGTGACTCCCTTTAAGTACAAATAGGAGTGCAGGTTGGCCTCCCTGTTATCAAAATCCTCCTCCTCCTTTCCACTGAGGGGTTCGGGAAAACGAACCTTGACTTTCTCACGGCGTGGTGGGGCCGGCTCCTCTTCCTTAGGAGTCGCTAACTTGGCGCCTTCAATGGCACCAGCGCAGAATTCTTTCATCTTACTAATTGCCAGGTGGACCTGGTCCACCAAGTACTTCAACATGTCACGGACAAAATCTTTAAACCTAGCACGTATCACATCTATCTTTACATCTAAGTTGCGGATGTACTGCGTTTGCTCACGATGTGCAATTAGTAGAGATTCCACACTTTGGGTCAGGGTATCGAGTTTAGTGGCTATCTCAATCTCTTCCCTGTTTTTCCCCATCCTGGTCCCCGCCGTTTTCAGGTCCCTTTCTTCTTGATCCGCCGCCTCCAAACGCCTAACTCTTTCTTGGGACAAACGCCACTTCCATGCCCTTTGTTGTTCCTCCTCTTCCGCCTTTCTCCTCACCGGGTTCCTCTCTGCTTCTAACCCTCTTATTGCCGCTTCTCTCTCTGCTTGGGGTATGGCCAGCTCTGCCTCCCTATCTTCCCCCAACTCCAAATGTGCAGTCCATTCTTGTGTTGTCTTCTCAATCTCCTCCTCCTTACTCGTCCTGGCTCCTCCTCTTCTCCTTTCCAATGACACTTCTTCTTCCGCCTTCTTTTCTTCTTCTTCTTCTTTCTCCACCTCCGCTTGTATGGATGCTATCTTCTCCTCTTGTTCCTTCGTCCATTTCTTCAACTCCTCTTCCATCTGCTTCTTCTTCGCTTTTTGCTCCTCCAGCAGGGCCAGCATCTTGGCCTGCTTGATCAGCTCCCTCTTCTCCATTCTCTCCTTCCTCTCTCGCAGAATAGCGGCATGTCTCTCCTCTTGCTCCTTGCTGTAGGGGGTGGTACTAGTTCCAGACATGAGGTCCACCATGGTGACGGTGCACAATCAACACAATTTCGCACCTCAACACGTAGACCAAACAGGTTAACTTCTATCGAGGGGTCTTGACTCACTACTCAGGCTAGTCTCACGGTTCTATGACCACAATCACAAAGTCCTACCGACCTGGACAGAACTGACAGGGAGATATGACTGACTGACCTTGACAAACTTGACGTCAACAAGTACACGGGTGAAGGTGCACATCCACGGGGTAAGGGATATGCCAGGGCTTGGAGAGACGGTATCGGTAATCTTCTCGCTCCAGCTGGGTGGACACTCCGGTCAACGGTCTTGGTCAACTCGCCGGTCTACGCTCCTGGTCAACGCCCTGGTCAACCTCGGTCAACGCCCTTGGTCAACTCCTCTGGTCAACCCCCCAACCTTCCGGCTATGGTGGACCTTCTTCTTCGTCAAGACCTTCGTCTTCTTCACCTCGGCTATGGCTGACTTTGCCTCCCTCTTCGTCACTTTCTTCTTCCTTCTCTCTGCGTCTATCTCCTTCTTCTTGCTGGTCGTCTTCTTTCCCGAGCTTGGCAGCTATGGCTGCCGTCCGCCCTTCTCTCTCTCTCTCTCTCTCTCTCTCTCTCTCTCTCTCTCTCTCTCTCTCTCTCTCTCTCTCTCTCTCTCTCTCTCTCTCTGTGTCTATTTTTGTCTATGTCTGCTTTCGTGTTCGTCCAACTCGCTGCTGTAGCTCCAAAGTGGACAACGGGAACCAGCTCCGATACCAATGCAATCAGACTCGACTCTGGACTTGCTCACAATACGCAGACATGAGAACTGATGGCAAACCAAACTCGTCAACTCATAACGAACAATGAACTAAGTCTTGCACTTTAACTGTGTTCAGAACAACTGTACAACTTGCGGCTATGGCCGCTGCACACTGTCTCAACCACCAGCCTCACTCTCCCTCATGCACGCACGTACGAGGATCACCCTGAATGTCCACGCTACACAGCCACACACACATTGTACACTCCGTCTACACCAACAGCTGGGCGGCTATGGCCGCCGTCGTCTTCCTCCTTCCAGCTATGGCCGCCGTCGTCTACCTCACTGGCCAGCTATGGTCGCTGTCTTCCTCACTGCCCCACTTCCCCTCCGGGCACTTGCAGACCTCCACGCACAAGATACCAAGGCAGCACTTCCACATGGCTCACAGGCGAATGAATGAATGGCTGGACGCTGCCTGTTTATTTATACTTCTTCGGAGGTGGCTGGGCCCTGCCCCAAAACGCGTGGGCCTGGGCCAAAACGCGTGGGCCTGGGTCCCTTCAGAACGCGTGAACCTGGGCCTGGAAGCTTCCAAACGGGTGGGGCTTCTGGGCCAAAATGCGTGGAACTCTCCACGTGCTCCAGAACCTTCCCCACGTGCAGCCCTTACCCAGGTACCTGCTGACTGGACTGCCTACAGGGACCTACGACCTTCTACAGTCTACAGACCTACAGACAGACTCTAGGCGCACAGTAGACTTAGGAAGAGACTTCTAGAACAGACTCTTTAGTCCCACTGGTAACAGACTCAACTCCCATCCTACAGACCTAGGGATCAAGTCCTACACAGATCGCTGGGCCTATGTACAGGGTACAGGATGGGTCTAGGGATCGAATCTCACTCAGCACACAGGGTCAATGTACAGGGTACAGGGTACAGGGTAAGTCTAGGGATCGAATCTCACGCAGCACACAGGTTCAATGTACAGGGTTAAGGCACAGGTCTAGGGATCGAATCTCTGTGTCTGCAAATGTCGGGTTAACTGGGTGAAACCGTTTCAGATGACTTCGAGGGCATTTAGTGAATTTGAGAGCATTGGGGGGCATTTGTTGAATTTGGGGGCATGGTTTGGTGACTATGAGGGCATTTGCTATTGCCACTTGGTGAAATTTGAGGGCATTTGAGGACATTTGGTGAATTTGGGGGCATGAGGGTGTTTGGGGAACTTGAGGGCATTTGCTGAGTTTGAGGCTTGCATGATCACACACCAACAGTGTCTTGTTGTGTGGGTGATCGTGGTATGCTTGTGTAGTGTGTCACATGGGACATGTGGGACATGTGGAACATGGGACTCCCTCAGCATTCGGAACTTGACATGTTGGCTGTAAGTTTGTGACAATGTGTGACAATGTGTGACAATGTGTGACAATGTGTGACAATGTGTGACAATGTGTGTGACAATGTGTGACAATTTGTGACAATGTGTGACAATGTGTGACAACGCGTGACAATGTGGGAAATGTGGGACATGTGGGACAATGTGGGATGATGTGGGACAATGTGTGTATGCTGTATACATAATGCAGATTGGCAACGAAGTTCTTCTTCCGGAGCATGGCACTACTTACTGGGCCACGATCGTTCCTGCGATGGTGAATGTCCACAAAGCACTCCAGGAATTTGGTCTGGACCAGACCATCAAGGTTGTCACCCCCCTCAACTTCAATTGTCTCCGAGCGACGTACCCTCCAAGCGCAGGGCTATTTAACCAGTCGTACATCAATACAATAAAACCTTTGTTGCAGTTCCTGAATGAAACGGGCTCCCCCTTCATGGTGAACATATACCCCTTTTATCCGACAAGGGACCCCACTAACAATTTTATGGTCGATTTTGTGCTGGGGGTCCCCGGCAGCAGGATAGACACAGACCCGGTCACTGGCTTGAGTTACACAAACATGGTGGACATGATGATGGATGCTCTTGCCTTTGCGATAGAGAAGGAAGGCTTCTATGGGATGCCTTTGGCTATTGGGGAAGTGGGATGGCCCACTGGTGGGCACCCCATTGCGACGGTCGCGAATGGAGAGAAGTTCAACAACTACCTTGCCGGGCAACTGATGAGCAAGAAGGGTACTCCAAAGCGCCCGGGCGATGACGGGTGGATGCAGGTTTACCTGTTCGAGTTGCTGGATGAAGACCTAAAGCCATACACAGATGACAATGGAATCTTTGAGGGGGAATGGGGAATCTACTATCTGAATGGAACAGCCAAGTACCCAATTGACTTGACGAAAGGATGGAATGCTACGACTGGTCGTCTCAGTGGCGCTCCTGCCGATGCGTCCACTCCTGCCACGCCTATTGACTCGAGTTGTGTCCCTGGTGACAGAGGGGGTAATACAAATAGTCCAAACCAGACTCTTGCTCTTACTGGAGGGCCAAACACGTACTGTGTTGTTAATGACTGTTCTTCCGACACCTCTATTCTGGTCGCCATTGACTGGTTGTGTGGGCAAACTAACGTGAGTTGTGCTGCCACCCAAGAAGGTGGACTGTGCTTTGTACCGGACACTCCCGTAAGCCACGGATCCTATCTGTTTAACAGCTACTACGTTAGCCACGGAAGGAAGCCCAGTGCATGCAACTTGGAAGGTATGGGAATGATTGTACGGGAGAACCCATCTCATGGGGCCTGCATTTATGCCTGAAGCTGCTGATCATTATGGGGACATAATACCGACAGATGTCTCCACGACTCTCTTGCCTGGAAGCACCCAGTGCATCCCTCCTAACTTCTTAAGGCTGTTTCTCTTTCCTACACGACTTGCTCCAAATTCAGCTCAACTCGGTTTCCAAGAATTGTCTGCAGAATCGGAATTGGTTTTCTAACAGAGTGTAATAGTGCAAGAAGGACGGCTCCTATCATAGAGAACACAGACTTACCCAAGCACACACACACACACACACACACACACACACACACACACACACACACACACACACACACA